CGTCTGGCGCGGCTGCGTGTTCACAAATGTACGCGCCAATAGGAACATAGCGAAGCCCGATCCGTTGTTTAACCGAACCTTGCACACGAAGATGTTCAGCATCGCTTGCTCGTGGGACGTGGCCGCGCTCGAAACGAACCGAATATTCTGTTGGATAAGTCGAAAGTGGAGGCGTCATTATTAAACCCGCAGCTGTGGATGTCCAACAGGCCTTTCGTGCTTCGGCGCACGAGATCAAAAAGGGGGATTCGAAAGTATGATCTCGGCCAGGCACTCGGGGGCACACGGCCGACTGCGGCCTCGAAAGTGCGCTCAATGCATGTGCAGGCCAGCTGCAGCTCTGCAACACACGGCAGAAGGGGAATTCCCGGAACCCGTGGATAACGCACAACACGTGCACCAATTTTACCCACCTCGTGTTGTCCACATAGCTGAATCAATGCGGCGATGCTGGGACCTCAGCGCAGAATCGCTGCTAGAACTCAGCGGCCGACGGCGTGGCGAAAAAGGACCGGACCAGGCAAGACTAAACGCAAAAGAAACTGCAAACACCCCGTCTCCAAACATGGAGGCGCCAGAGTCGGAGTCAGAGTCCGAGGAACTGGTCGCCAAGCACGCGGGGCAGCACAGCCCGCACAGTACCAGGAGCAGGACGTGCTTTGCGGTGTGCATGGGGTATGCGTGGACACGCACTAGCGAGTAATGCGCGTCGTCAGCCGGAGCCAAAAGGGCTACAGGAAGGCAGTCACCAGCCGAGCGGGCTCAGAGGGTGAACTCAAAAATCGGGACCCAAGATGTTCAATGTATTGTTTTTTGTTGTCCCCGTAAGCTCGTCCACTGAAGTCCCTGCAAGGTTCCCAGCAACTGCACCCAGTCGAAACCGTGGCTCTGCGTGTCCGAATCGTGTGCGACGCCGCTCGAGGCTCGAGATGTTGTCCGGAGTCCCTCGGAGGATAGGAGGCCGAGGTTCGAGAATCGAGGGTTTCGATTTTCGTAGCTTCGAGGGCCTCTTGTGGGGGTCTTCGTCGCCACGGCTGGATCTAGCTTGAAGCCCACCAGCCCTGTGGGCGTGAACGGTTTAGCGCGTTTCTTCTACCATCTTCCCCTCCTCCCCTTCGGGGGGGGGTTTGCTCTCCCGCCAACCTTCTCCCCAGGGCCTGGATGGGAAGGGCCACGACCGATAAGAGCGTCCAAGATGCCCTAAGATGGCTCCAGCATCAGCATGCTCATGTACTTCCCTCATGAATTCAACGACTGTGGGCATTGTTTCTGGATGGGCTGGTGGGGTTGCGTACGGCGTCTAGAATGTTTGTGGTTGAGTGGGGCTGTCTTCACACACACGGTGAAATATAAATGATCAAACGACTTGGGCTGTTGGGGGGGGGGCGAGCGTTCACCGGAACGGCGAAGGATAGGAAAGATAGATGGGGATAGCGAGAGAAAGGGCGGAAACGAGACAGTAGACGCGGAGGCGACAGGAAAGATTCGGACGAGCGCCCACACTGTGAAAAGACAAAAGGGTCGAGGAATGCAACAGCCAGCATGCCATGCATCACGGACGCACATCTGCCAACGTGATGCTGTTGCCACATGTGTGCGATCGATGGAATCTCCGCACCTGGTGACTCAACATGTGGGATGTGTATGCCGTGTGTGTGTGTGTTTGTGCGTGTGTAAGCGATCGTTGGAGCTGCCCCAGAAATTTCTTCTTCAATGATGGGTCGGACGAAGAAGAAAGGGACCTTACTGGAGGCATGTTGACGTGCGGCTACGTAGCGGCGGAATTGACAAAAGCACTGACGGACTCATCAAAAACTGAGTGCGCGCGCAGAAACAAAAATACCGAGCCAACCTGGGCATTACGAATGCACGTGCGGCAAAACGTATCTGTAAGCCGTCCCAGAATCTATGGCGCATGTATGCACTAAGTGTGCGATCGAAGAAATATCTCAGGAAGCTGTCCGGGAACTTGCTGGGTATGAGCATGCATGCATGTGTGCCGTGGCGGATGGGAGAAGTGCAGAACGAGACGGGGGCTGATGACGATTACGACTGATAGACCTGACTCTTGTTCGGGGTGCCACGCGAGGCTACGGGTTTGTGTGTGTCTGTGTCTGTGTGTGTATACGATCGCTGGAATTATCCCGGAAGCTGACCCAGAAAGTTCTTCCTCAATGATGGGTCGGACGAAGAAGAAAGAGAGCTCACTGGAGGCATGTTGACGTGCGGCTACATAGCGGAATGGATGATAGCAGAGACGCGGTCATCAAAAGCTGAGTGCGCGCGCAGAAACAAAATTACCGAGCCAACCTGGGCATTACGAGTGCACGTGCGACATAACACATCTGTAAGCCGTCCCAGAAGCTATGGCGTGTGTATGCGCCAAAAATGCGATCGAAGAAATATCTCAGGAAGCTGTCCGGGAACTTGCTGGGTATGAGCATGCATGCATGTGTGCCCATGGAGGTGTGCGTGTGGCGGATAGGAGCAGTGCAAAAAGAAACGGGGGCTGACGAAGATGACGACTAATAGACCCGACTGTTTTTCGGGGCGCCTCGCGGGGCGCGACGAATGTAGAAATGAAGCGCATTTCTTCAGCGATAGGACGCAGGCCTCTGCATGGCTGAGCGAAATTGCCAGAAACCCTTCGTGGGCACTGCCAGAAGCAACTCTGGCCAAACAGTGTTCTTCACGAAAGCTGAACCGTCTGTGTCCACGTGGTCGGACGAGGCGAGCGCCCGAATGTCGCGGCGGTGCCGGATTCGGGTGAGGTTGGCGCACAAGTGGCCGTGGGTGAATGGGTTGTGTCGCACGGCAACAACCATTCTGCATAGGGTTCGTCTTTGTGCAGAGTTGTCGGTGGATGCGTAGGCCGGTCGGCCGGTCGTAAAGGGCATTGTCGACAAGCCACCGTTGACGTGCCGTTGACGATTTGCCATCGAAAACAAATCCGCGGTAGAGGGAATTCCCGACTGTCGAGGGTCTATATCAACGCGCGATGAGCGCGGACCTTGCGCAGGTTTACGGGGGCCCTGTTTATGAGGCGTTCCTTAGGGACGAAGTTCCGCATCACTTCGTAGAGGTCTCCTTCCACGAGGTGCAGAGAGAGAGCGGCGGAACGCCGGGGGAGGACTGGACTGGACGTTCAAGAAATCGGCGGCGACGTGCTGCTCAACGCCCCCCTGCAGCTTCCAGGTCGAGCGCGTCGGCGCTGAGGGCGCGATGCGACGGGCATTGGCAGGTACGCCCCAGAAGGTTCAACGCGCGTTCGTTGCAAGCGTCCACGAGAGATTCAGAACAGCAAAGACCTTGGAATCGGAGGAGTGACGCGGGTCGTTCGGCGCGGGGGAGCAATTCTTGAGGGTGTCGTCTTCGGAGGCTACTGTCTCGATGTCCGGTGGCCTGGCGTAGCCAAGACTGCCGGTGTCGTTGGTATCGTCGGAGCGCCTTCGGCACCTCCTGCCACCGTGCCGAGGTTGTGGGCATGATGCCTCTTGGATGTTCGTTGGGATCTCTTGGGACACAATTCGGGGGTTCCTTGAAGCAGTTTCGAAGCCTCTTGGGGATGTTTTGGGCCCGCTTGGGGCGTCTTTTGGCCCTCTTGGGGACGTCTTGGGGCGTCTTGGGGGCCTCTTGGGGGCCATCTTGGGGGCCTCTTGGGGCCTCTTGGGGACCTCTTTGGGCTTCCTGGGGGCCGCTTGGGGTGGAAAGCTAGAATTGTCGGTTCGGGCTCCCCTTCTCGGACCCTCTTGGCGCCGTCTTGGGGCTCTCTTGGGCCGTCTTGGGCGCCTCTTGGGCCGTCTTGGGACACTTCTGGGCTGTCTTTGGGGCCTCTTGGGGGCCTCTGGTGCCGTCTTGGGGCGGGCTTGGAGGCCTCGTGGGCCGTCTTTCACGCCGTGATGGCCGAAAAGTCGTAGATGCTAGACATCTGCGTTTTCCTTTGCGAATTTGACGATTTTGGCCTCTTGGGGCCCTTTCGGGAGTGCTTTTGGAAGCCTCGTGGGACGTCTTGGAGGCCTCTTGGGCCGTCTTGGAGCCATCGTGGGCGTCTTGGAACGATCTTTGGGCGTCTCGGGGCCCTCGTGGACCGCCTTCGGCGCCTCTTGGAGCTTTCTAGGTCCGTGTTGGGCCCCCCGGGGACCGCCCAGGAGAGCTTCGGGGACCCTCTGGGGCCTTCCAGATTCTATTGTGTGTGTGTGGCCCATCCCTGTCAGTTCCTGGTGTGAGATAGCTAAGATAGGAATATATCTCGAATAATGAGCCCGGCGGCGGGGCGGAAACCAGCTGCATGCAGCAGATTTCGTACCCCCCATTTCTCTATATTCCCCCCCTTTCGTCCGGCCCGATCCTAAATATATAAGACGAAGCGAGGACGAGGATAAATTCGGGTGAGACAAATCGAGAACCTCTGAGATCCGGCGGTTCTGGAAGATGTCTCGGGCGCCGCGGCCTTCTCGGAACGCTCTGGAACGGATTTCATCCTCGTCCTAGCACCGCCCGAAGATAGGAAGCGATCCAAGGGTGAACTTACGTTACCTGAGGCACCTCGTCATTATTTATGGTGTCCAAAGCCCGGACAGCGAGGGGACAGAAGCTCTGGGAGGTCTGGGAGGTCTCGGAAGGAACTTATGGAAAGCTTCAGGGCACACGTGTTGGGAAACAATTTGGAAAGGCCTGCCGGAACACGCTGCAAGCTCCAGCAACTCGCTGCGGGGATTCCTGCCGGAAGCCGGAACGACCTCGGGGGGCGACCCTGCGTTGCTTGAGGCGCCTCGTCCTCACACCCCCATCCTGCAGGACCCGATCTTTGAACCACCGATCCTTTCCAAATTGTTTCCCAACACGTGTGCCCTGAAGCTTTCCATAAATTCCTTCCGAGACCTCCCAGACCTCCCAGAGCTTCTGTCCCCTCGCTGTCCGGGCTTTGGACACCATAAATAAGGACGAGGCGCCTCGTCCTCACACCCCCACCCTGCAGGACCCGATCTTTGAGCCACCGCTCCTGGAGGAGTCGCCCTCCGCGCCCAGGGCTCCCGGCGACTGCGCCGCACCGGGCGCCTGCCGAGCGGGCGGGGGCCGACCCGAGGGCTCCACGCGGCCTCCCGGCTTCCGACGCCGCGCGAGCCTGCCGAGGCCCCGGGGGCGCAAGGCCGGTCGCGGGTCGACCGCGAGGCGAGCTCAGCCGACCACTACCCGGAGATCCTGGCGTCGCAATTTTCGTCGAGCCGGGCGTTTTCGCATGGCTTCGGCCCCCAGGACCCTCACAGATCGATCCAGCTCGAAGCATGGCGCAGAAAGATGGGGTCCAGGGCTCCGGTCGTGATCTTTCACCCTTTCACGATGCTTCAACTCTGCCGCGTCGTCGGATCTCAGGGGAGGTCGGCTGAAACGATGCGCGGTCGGCGACTGCGCGGTCGGTATGCGCTCGGCAGACGCCCGAACAAAAACCGCGCGATCTGGGGCTCTCGCCTGCACCGCCGAGGCCTGCCGCTCTGGGGGTGCTGCCATAGCCAGAAATATGATGAAGGAAGGTACGGCCAGGCCCCTCCGTTTGCCCAGACCAGTCAGTGAGTTCCTCGTTTCCCTCTTCCCCCATCCCCACTCTTCTCCTTCTCCTTTTCCTCTCCCTCATCCTCCTCCCCCTCCTCCCCCTTTTTCCTCCTCCTCCTCCTCCTCCTCCTCCTCCTCCCCCTCCTCTTCCTCCTACCCCTCCTCCTCTTCCTCCTCTTTCCCCTCCTCTGCCACGTTCCCTGATGCGAGCGGCGCATCCTTTTCCTTCCCCTCCCTAGTGCTCCCTTCCTCTCTCTCTTCTTCCATTTCTTTGATAATTTTCCCTGCCCTCATCGAGTCCTTCCCCCACCCCCCCTCGCTCTCCCTTCTTCGCCCTTCTCTCCCTCCACATCATACTCTCGTCCATCTTCCTTCTATCCCAGCCGTTCCCCTCCCTGTCTCCTCCCTTTCCCCCTCTCTCTCTTGCCGCTTTCACACACACACACACTCTCTCTCTCTCTCTCCGTCAGTCAGTCAGTCAGTCGGTCAGTCTGTCTGTCTGTCTGTCTGTTTGTCTGCCTGTCTGTCTGTCTGTCTGTCTGTCTGTCTGTCTGTCTGTCTGTCTGTCTGTCTGTCTCTCTCTCTCTCTCTTTCTTTCTCTCTCTCTCTCTCTCTTTAATCCTCCCGTTCTATTCCGCCCCCTCTCTCTCTCTCTGCGTTTGTGCGTATGTGTATGTGTGTTTGGAGAGAGAGAGAGAGAGAGAGAGAGAGAGAGATAGAGAGAGAGAGAGAGAGAGAGAGAGAGAGAAGAGAGAGAGAGAGAGATAGAGAGACAGGGAGAGAGTAAAAGAGAGAGAGAGAGAGAGAACAAACAAACCACAAGCAACAGAAGATAGAGAGAGAGAGAGAGGAATAGAGAGAGATAGAGAGAGAGAGAGAGAGACAGAGAAACAACAACAAGAGAAAAAGAGAGAGAGAGAGAGACAAAAAAGAGAGGAGAGGCGACGGATAATGGGGACGGTGGAAGTCACTGAATTTGGGGCTCCTGTGATACAAGCATCCGCTCTGACCCTCTGCAGAAGAAATCCTTCTATAACCCGCGACAGTAGGAATCCGTTCGTAATCCGTTAAAAGGGTCCGTCTGTAATCCGCAACAAAAAAGATCCTGGTGTAATCCTCTACAACAATGAATCCTGTTATCATCTTCCACACAAAGGGATCCTTTGGCAACCCGCTACAAAATGGATCCTTTTTTGTAATCCCCCACAAAAGCAATCCTGTTGTAGTAGCCCGCCACAAAAAGGGATCCTCTTCTAATCAACCACAACAAGAAACCTTGCGCAATACCTCTCGGAGAAGAAGGGGGGCATCCTTCCCGTCCAAGTAAAGGGAAAACCAGAAGCACATGAAAAGCTTTTCACGGGAAAACAGGACAAACAGTGAAAATTGCAGCGGAACGGGAATCCTTTTGTAATCCACCACAACAGAAATCAGTTTGGAGTCCTCTAGAAAAAGAATCCTCGTGTAATCCTCTACAACCGGAATCCTCTTGCAATCCTGCGCACACTCCTCACACGTTTCTTGGTCCAGTAAAAAAGGGTTCCATCTAAGGCCTGCGTGGCGCAGGTCGCATGTGAGAATCACGCCCGATTCGGCACACCCCTCACACGTTTCGTGGCCCCATAAGGGTCTTCCGTGGCGCAGTTCGCCTGTGGCATCACGCGGGCTTCGGCACAATCCTCACATGTCTCATGGCACCATAGTGGGGGCTCCATCTAAGGCTCCCATGGCGCAGTTCGCATGTGGGCGTTTGCACGTTTCGGCACGTTCCTCACACGTTTCGTGGCCCCATAAGGGGCTGCACCGGATGCCTCCGTGGCGCAGTTCGCATGTGGGCGTCGCGCCCGTGACGGCACAGTCATCACACGCCTCGTAGCCCTATTGGGCGCTTCACCGAATGGCTCCCGTGGCGCAGTTCGCATGCGGTTCCCCAACAATTGCGGCACACCCCTCACACGTTTCGTGACCCATTGGGAACTCCACCGAATGCCTCCGTGGCGCAGTTCGCGTGCGGTTCCCGAATAATCCCGGCACGCCACTCTCACGTTTCGTGGCCCCATGAGAACTCCACCGAAAGTGATGGTCACAACGCGGCACTCACAATTGCATATGGTTGGGTCCTTCGTCTGGATATGGCTTCGCTCGTTTCAGTGTTTGTTCCTCTGCCCCCCTTGTTTGTTCGGGGAGGAGGGCGCCCATCTTCCCTGAGGGGGTTTTACAAATATTCCTTTGTGGCGGATTACGGCAGGATTCCTACACTAGCGGGTTGCATAAGGATTCCTTTTCTGGATGATTACAAAAAGGATTCTTTTTTGTGGGTGATTACATTCGGACTTCCTCTGTTGAGGGTGACAGAAAGATTCCTCCTGCCGAGGATTACACCGTGATCCTTTCTGTGGAGGATTACAAGAGGGGTCGTTTGGTGGCGGACTCCAACAGGATTCCAATGGTCGCTCCAATGTATCATGTTTCCATTGCCTCCCGTGAGCCACTTTTCACCTTACCTGCTTATATACCACACCTTTCATGTTTTTATGTTCTCCTCTTCTCCCTTTGGCTGTTCGGGGAGGGTCCCTTCTTCTCTGGGTGGACTGCAACATGACTCCTTCTGTGCGGGATTGCGACAATATTCTTTTGGCAAGAAATTGCACAAGGATTCTTTCGTGGCGTGCTACACAAGGATTTCTTCCGTGGAGGACTATACACGGATTCCTTTTGTGGCGGAGTAAAGAACAATTACTCTTGTAGCGGGTTGCTGACGGATTCATTTTTCGGACGATTGCAAGAAGGATTCTTGTGGTCGCGGGTTACAGCAGGATCGCTCTCGTGGCTGGCTACAATTCTTGTTGACCCTTTCCCTCCGGTGCACCTTGCATTTTTTGATTCAACTGCTTTCCCAGGGCTCGCACCTTGTTCTTGATACGGGGAAGTCTTGGTCGTCAAACTGTGTTGTGGGCCCTCGAATCATAATAATAATGGTTCTCGCCTGATACTTCCTCGCAATTTATTTCAACATCGCGCTCTCGCGCGGGGTGCGCGAATAAGTTCTACAAGTGCTCTCGCGTGGCACTGCTTCAGCATTTATTGTGGCGCTGTGCCCCCGCAACTCAGGAATTGCGCTCTAGGTTTGGAACTCTGCACGATTTACTTGGGACTCGCCCTATCGTTCGGAACTTCCTTGCGAATCATGTTGGTTCGACGCTTCAGCGACCCGCCCGCTCGACCCGGCCGTCTGGGCCGTTCCGCCCGACCTGTCTGTTAGGGTCCGCCCGCCCGACCCGCCCGTCTGGTTCAGCCGCTTGAACTCCTGCTCCTGACCCTCCTCCTGCAAATCTCTCTCGTGCTCCATCCTTTTCCCTCCCCCTTGTCTCTTCCCTCCTCCCTTCCTTTCCCTGTTGTAACGGCTGCGCTAAGTACACGCGGCAAGCAGGGAAGATACGCATCCGAGGGGAATGCGATCGAACACGAAGAGGGCGGGTTTCGAGGGTTTGGGACACACGTGTTGAGTGGCCCACGCGCAGATAAGAACGAACAGTCTAAACATGATGGTTGCTGTTTTGTTGTTGTTGCTATTGCTGGTGTTGTTGTTGGTGTTGTTGATGTTGCTACTGTTGTGGAAGTATCACTCCTTCGGGGCTCGCGCCCTTTTTTATCAAGGCACATCTTCGTGCTCAAACTGGACCCCTGGTCCCCGAACTACAACAACAACGGCGGACGCCTGATACTTCCTTGCAAGTATTTAAACATCGCGCTCTCGCGCGAAACTTCCTCACAATATTTGCAGAAATCACGCTGTGGTGTGGGACTTCCTCGAACATGATTCAAGCGCCGCGCCCTCGACATTCAGAACTAACGCTCTCGCTTTTGCTGTTCTGATCATTTATTTGGGAATCGCGCTATCTCTCGAGGCTTCCTTGCGCTTCATGCAAGACTCACGCTTCAGCAACCCGATTGCTCGATCTGGCCGCCTGGGCCCGCCTTCCCGACTCGCTCGTTACGGTCTGCGGGCCCGATCCACCCGTCTGGTTCTACCATGTGGTTTCTGCCCCCAACCCCCCTCGTACAAATTTCTCTCGTGTTCCATCCGTCTCCCTCCCCTTTCCACCCGTCCTCCTTTCCCCTGTTTGAAGGGGCTGCGCTACTGCGCGTGTCAAATAAGGAAGACATATCCTCGAACGAATACGATCGAAACCGAAGAGGGCGGAGACCGAAGATTTGGGATATACGTGTTGAATTGCACGCGGCCAGATAAGAACGAACAATCTGAAAATGATTGTTCTTGTTGCTATTGTTGCTGTTGCCCGTCGTCCCCGCTGGCGGCCCGCCCGCGACCCACCCGCGACCAGCCCGCGACCCACCCGTGACCCACCCGCGACCCGCCCGCGAACAGCCCGCGACCCGCCTGCTTTCCACCCGCGACCCACCCACATCTCTCTCCGCGTTGACACAAATCGGTGCCCGCGGCGGGCGGTCTTCTTCAACTTTGCCATCGGGCCTCACGTGCTGCCGACGACTCGCCCCCGTCCTCTTACTCTTATCCGCATCTGCTGGGGCCCCTATGGTAATAGAACGAGACGCGTGCAACAAAACACCTTAGAACACAACTTTTGTTCTCCCCAATTGCAAATCTTGGGCAAAGCAGCTCCCGCCGACTCAATGGCAACCTCACCATGCCTGTGAGGTGGACCCCGGAGCCCTGCCAAAACAGCCTCCCATGCTCGCGTGTGAACCGCGCGCGACACTTTGCGAGATACATCAGAAAACAACTTGCTAACGTGGTGATCGTGATAAAGATGGCGATGACGACAGGAGCAATGGCTTTCAGCACAACGGCGCCAACGAGCGCTGCTGCTGCTTGCTGTGAGGATCCTCCATGGCAGCAGTGCTGCAAAGACCCTTGCGAATTCTCACAGACCGTGCCTCTCTGGGAATCTCCACAAGCACATGGGGAATAATGCGCTCGATAGTTGACAAAGCAGCTGGCGACTGAGTCTGAGTCTGAACTGGCATCTCCTGAACACGCTCCTCGACCGATGGCTTCGGTGATGCACTTCTTTTTGCTTCTGATGACCCCCAGATCTCCAATTGTCGAAGTTGCAATGTTGGATAAAACCACGGCGGCGTCCGTACCACAAATCGCACCAGAATCGATGTAATGAGATGCCCATGGGTGGCTTGGCAAGCTTTCGGTGCATGAGTAGGGCGATGAGTAGGGCGATGATGAAGGATGGAGCGACACAAAAAAGCCAAACCATGTTCACGAGTGCTGAATGCTGCTTCTGCTTCTTTTTCCTCTCCTCCCCCTTCCAGCAGCGATGACGTCAAATTGTGTTTCGCCGCCGTCCAATGGCGGTCCAGTAGTGATCGTACTTCCGCTGGCGACTTGCGCTGGAAAAGTCTTTGGAACGACCGAAACACGATACGTATCAATAATATTGCTGCCCGGTTGCGTTCTTTTCCTCCTCGTTCCGCGCAAGGCTGGGCGGCGTGCCAGCTGAAACGGGGAGCTGCTCGAGGGCGGCTGCGAGGAAGCTGACGAGAACGACGAGGCTGACCTGCTGGGGGAGGGGGGCGGAGGATGGATAATGTGACGCAGGTGGAGGTTGGATGAGGATGAAAGGAGGGGGCGGGGGAGGAAGGGGGGGGGGAGGAAGGGGGAGATGAGGGAGAAGAGTTTTGCATCCTGTGCGAAATGTGCCACAGGGCGCTGGCGACCTCCTACATTCCGCAAACCAAACTCGCTTTTCACACTTTACACTCCTAAACGCAATCAAGTCGGCGGCACTGGCACCGATAGGACTGTGCCACAGCAGCACTGCCCGCGCGTGGATCACCTCACGTCGTCTCCTTTTCCACTCTTGACACCACCCCTACATAGCTATGTTGTTAGGTGTGCAGTGGAACGGCGGCTTGCCGTTGTGATGTACACAGCGAGAACACAGCCCAGCAGTTCCCGCATGAAAAAGACTCCGCCAACGTGCCGCTGGGAACAGGGTGGGCGTGCCCTCAGGTCCTTTGCCCGATCCTCTAAGCCTCAATCCTCACCCCTGCGGAATGTTTAGAAAGACCCAGCTCCCAGATTGCCATGGCCGCGCCGCCACGGGGGCGGTGAGCGCGGACATCTGCTGCCATTGGGCCTCCTCAGTGTCATTCTTGAAGCTGTCCTGCTCATGGACGAAGGCGTGCCACTTTTCTTTTTCATTATACTTCTCCTCCTGTTTTTACCCCTCGCACACAGAGGCGGTGCCCAAAGAAAACAACAGTCTTCAGTGACATTTCCGCGGCGCGAGCTCAAGGGAAAAAACGGGTCTTAAATCATATTTCCTCGTCGTGGCAGCACGCAAGAAATTCGACCCGCAAATGCGAGCGAAAGCTGCCGAGGAGGACAAGGAGGACGAGGAAGGAAGGAGGAACAAAAACGGGCAACGGCTCTGTGCGGTTAACCTCTGTGGCCCAGTCGGCCATTTATATAATCCAAAAACGCACAATGGTATGCGAGGGAAAAGGGAAGGAGGGAAGGAAAGAAGGGATGAGGGCGACCAAGGAGGGGAGGACATTTACAATCGCGCCACGCGTGTCCCTGAGCGCGCCATGACTCCGCGAAAGGTGAGCAAGAAAAAGACAACCTGGCGGCCTCCCGCAAATACGAGGCGCCACAGGGAGAGGGGGAGGCAGGGAAGGGACGGGAAACAAAGGGCGATGAAGAGGAAGAGGACGGGTCAGAGCACGTTGGCGGCCAGGGGCCCCTCCTGCACGACCTCGAAAATAAAGACGTGGCTGACGCAATACACTGTGTAGGAATGCACCGCGTGGGAAAAGAATGCTAGATGTGTGCGGCGGCGGCGTCCAGCCGGAACCAGCAAGCTGGCTGGTACGTCGGAGACGTGCAAGGCGACCTCGGTGGGCCTCGCCGCCCCTGGTGCCGCTGATTTGCCACCATCGGGGCACGGTACCGGCTTCGCGGCGACTGTTCGCCATCGAATATCTCACAGAAGACCAAAAAGTAGAAAGCGATGTAGCCGAGGAAGGAGAGGATGTCCAGAAAGAGCTCCAACACGCAGCCAAACAATCACTATGATCACGTGCGCCTTGGGTAAGTCCTGCGGCTGGGATCCCTGGCGCCCTCCTGGACTCGCTTCGCCGCTCGTCCCTGCCGGCCATGGCCGAGCATGGAAAAGAGCCCGCTGTGCCCTCAGATAGCTTTATGGTACTGTTGGTTCATGACATGGTGAACGTACCAGATGTGCTCATCAGGGTTTAGCTGCTTGCGTCGTATCTGATTCACTATTCTGTTGGCGCCGTATGTCGCCACTGCCTGCGCGGCCAAAGCATTGTCAGCAAGGCTCCCTGTGAGCATCCACCTCCTGAAGCCCAGAACGGCACAGGTGTCCCCGAGCTGGCGCCTCACGAAGTCCCGGATGACCAGGCAATTGACGTAGTGCTCGATGGAGTCCCAGGCTGTGTCGGAGCAGCCCAGAACGCGGCAACTGCCGTTCCGAACCTTTCTCATGCGTCGGTCGGCTGCCCACTGGTAGAGCATCAAGCCGAGCACTGCAGCCTTGACGCGCGGAGGCGCTAGCCGACGGAACCGTTGAAGATGCGCATCCGCTTGCCGCGCCACTCTGGGCGGGGGGCTTGGAAGACGCCATCGGGCAAACCGCGTGCAGAGACGCCGTGCTGGATCGTAGCCCTCCTTTGCAAGGAGGTGGTGCCCGTACAATCGTTGGGTGCCTCGTCGTAGCTGCGAATCCTTGGCCCGAGTCAAGGGGCCGTGAGTATCGCCCACAAGGTCACCGCGGATATCGCGTGGGTGACTGCCATGTTTCTACGCGTCTCGTGCCTTCCGTGAGACGGCGGTCGGGATGTGCTTGTCGTACCACGACTTCAGTCGGGCTGCGCGAACCAGGTAGACCGTGTAGCTCCAGGCTAGCTCTAACTCGCGCTGTAAACAAGACCACGGGATGCCTCCACCCTGATGCCCTTCCCATGTGTACGCGCGCAAAGTCGCAGCCCTGCAACAGACTTCAGTGGGGGGAGACCCCGGTCCTGGCCCAAGTCGCAACCGCCATGAAGGTCAGCCACCGAACACCATGATCCAGGCCCTGGTGCCACCCTGCTGGCGACGAGGCTCTCAGCATCAATGGTGTCCCGCGGCGGCTGTTCCAATTGGGCAACACATAGGAGCACTGTTACACCGTAAGTCCCGTGGATGCGGAAAGCCACGTGCAAGTCGGGCTCGCCCCAATTCCAGTGTTGCAGCCGCTCCTGGAGTTTCTGAGTCGGGCGCGCCCAAGAGAGGTGTCCCTCGCCTGGGCCGACGTAGACGCCCACGTACTTGCCCGTGGCCGCCCACGTGAGCTGCGGCATCGCTGGCTGTTTAAACCAAAAAAAAATCGGCCTGCAGATGGGCAGGGTCTGCCTCCGACGGCGCAATGGCGATGGTGTTGGCCATGTGTAGGCGAAGGGTGGAAACCGAATCGAAGGTCGCAAGCGTCCTGAACACCCTCTTGCTCCCCTTGGTCCACGAGCGGACGACCACCGCTGAATCGTCTGTGAACGCTCGCGTCAGCGCTCGGGTGACGCATCGCCAAAATCCGTAGCAGGCTATCCGACGCTGGGGAAAACAACAATGGGGAAAGTGGATACCCTTGCCAGATCCCGGCCTCCATGGGAATGCCGCCGAACACCCGCCCTCTGAGCAGCAGTTGGCCGACCGCGTGCTGGCAGAGCGACTTCAGGACGTTTGTGGCCCCTGGGGGCATGCCTGCCGCACTTGCCGTAGCCATCAAGTATTTCTGGGACACGCTTGGGAAGGCCGCGACAAAGTCGAATAGGACCAAAACGGCGTCTCGCTCCTGTGGGAAGGCCTGCATTGCTTCGTGCTCGATGTCCACGATGTTCCGCAGCATGGACCGACCGTGAAGGAAGCCACGCTGGGAGTCAACCACCGTGAAGGAAGCCACTTCTCCTTCTCCTTCTGGTAGACCTTTTCCTTTGACTCCATCTGCCTGCGCAGCTCGCCGATGGCCCCTTGCGCCTGCTTGCGCGCCTCCTGCTGCGTTCTGCAGCTCGGACTCGCGGTTCTTCAGCTTCGACTCGCTCGACACCGCGTCCTTCGACAGCTTCGAGTGCTCCTCCTCCAGCTTCTTCAGCTCCTTGGGGCGCTGACTGTCACGCTGGGCCGTCTGCTGATGGTTCAAAGTCTGGATCTCGATGTCGCGGTCGTCCAGCTGCTTCACGCCGCTTTCGAGGGCCCCGAGCACCTCCTCCCTCCCCTCCGGGTGCTCGGTACGGCTCTGGAGGCGGCCCTGGACCCGACCTGTCCGCCAGTGGGAGAGCCCTCGGGCCCAGGGAGCGCCCCGCCCTCGTTCCTCAGGAGTGCCAAGGCAGACCCACAATCTCGGATTCTCTGGGGCTTCCCGTGTGACCCCCGAGGGCTTGTCGCGGCTTCTCGCGTGACTTTTCCGAGGGCCATGGGGGCCCTGAGACGGCCATGGAGGGTCCCGAAAGGCCTCCAACATTGTCGAAGAAGCCTCCGAGATGGCCCAAGAGCGCTCCAAGATGCCCACGAGCGCATCAAGACAGCAGACGAGGCTCCCATGACGCCCCGAGAGGGCTCCAAGAGGCCCGGCGGTGTTTGATGGATTTCGGCGTTCTCGCCTTTTCGGACTTCCGACGCTCCAAGACGGCCCAAGAGGCCGCCAAGACCGCCCCAAGACGGCCGAGGAGGCCCCCCAAATGGCCCCCAGACGCCCCCAAGACGGCCCAAGACGCCCCCAAGACGGCCCAAGAGGGCCTCAAGAGATCCAGGGAACACGGACGAGTCCTCCGCCCCAAGAGGACCCCCGAGACCGCCAGCAGGCATCTAAGAGGCTCCCTCAGAAGCCCCAAGAGGCCCAAATCAAGTCCCAAGAGGCTCCCGAGAGGCCACCAAGATTCACACAGATCGCCTCAACTGCTTCCGAGAGGCCTCCCGAGAGATCCCCATAAGGATCCAAGAGGCCTCATATCTTCAACCCAGGCGCGGCGGCGGGATGTGCCGCAGGCCACTAGATCCGCCGCCCCCTGTTGCTTGCAAGAGGGGTGCCTGGCGTGCCAAATCGTTTCGCTTTTGGTTTGGGTTCTTTTCCAAAAGAACTCACCCTGGGGCTCCGGCGCGTCCCGCCGGCCACCGGGAAAGGAACTCAATCCGGGAAAAAATCCTCCAAGACAGCTCAAGATGTCCTCCAAGATGGCCACGTTGGCCCAAGATGGCCTCCAAGATGGCCTCCAAGTCCGCCCAAGATGGTCCAAGACGGCCTCATGACGGCCCAAGATAATCCAAGATATCTCCAAGTTCGCCCAAGAAGCCTCCAAGACGGCCCAATACGACCCAAGAGGCCTCCAAGAGGTCCTCCAGGAGGGTCCGAAGAGGCCAACATTATTGATTTTCTTAAGGTTTGACGGATTTGGGCATGTTCGCCGTTTCGGCCTTCCGCGACCCAGGAGGCCCCCAAGATTGCCCAAGAGGTCTCCAAGATGGCCCCATGACGGCCCAAGAGGTCCCCAAGATGCCCCCAAGAGGGCCCCAAGACGGCCCAAGAGGCTCCAAGACGCCCAAGGTGGCCTCCAAGACGACTAAGATGGCCCCAAGATGCCTCCAAGACGGCCCAAGATGCACCCAAAACAGCCTGAGATGGCCTCCAGATGGCCTAAGACGGCCGAAGAGGCCCCCAAGAGGCCTCCAAGACGGCCCAAGAGGCCCCCAAGAGGCCTCCAAGACGGCTCAAGAGGCCTCCAAGAGGTCATCCAGGAGGGCCCGAAGAGGCCACAATCATAGATTCTCTTTAGGTTTTTGAAGGAGTTTGGCATTTCCTTTTTTTCGGAATTCCGACGGCTCAAGAGGCCCCCAAGATCGCCCACGAGGCCTCCAAGATCGCCCCATGACGGCCAAAGAGGCCCCCAAGATGGCCCCCAGCAGGCCCTTGGGCCTCAAAGACGGCCAACATGGCCTCCAAGACGGCTAAGAAGATGGCCCCAAGAAGCCTCCAAGACGGCCCAAGATGCACCCAAGACGGCCTCAAATGGCCTCAAGATGGCCCAAGACGGCCCAAGAGGCCCCCAAGAGGCCTCCAAGACGGCCCAACAGGCGTCCAGGAGGTCTTCCTTGAGGGCACGAAGACCCAACTCATCGATGTTCCTAAAGTTTTTCACAGATTTTGACATTTGCTTCTTCTCGGCATTCCGACGGCTCAAGACGGCGCAAGAGGCCCCCAAAAAACCCTCCAAGAGGCCCCCAGGAAGCTCCCAGGAGGCCCCCAGAGTGCCCCAGGAGGTGCCCAAGAGGCCTCCTCCTCCTCCTCTTCCTCTTTTTTCCTCATCCTCCCCCTCCTCCTCTTCTTGCTCCCCCACGCGTTCCCCGAAGTTTTTCCAAACCGACTCGGGGAACAACTTGCCCGATAGCTTCGCCAAGCTCTGGCCCAGCTGTCGGCCACAGAGGCGCTTCCAAAAGGGCAGGGGGCGGCGGTGATTCGCCGTAGGCGTCTTCGATACTCGTCGTAGGCGATGCAAAACTTCTGGAGGCGCTCCGTCTCGTTTTTGTTGGACACCCGAAGCATGTAATTCTGACGCTTATCCTGGAGCTTCTCCAGCGTGGGATTGATCTCCTGGGTACACAACTTATGAATCTCGCTGACTTTGGCCAACTTCTTCTTGAAGATCTTGAGCGCGCCGGCCTTCTTGTTTTCGTCCATGCAGGCGCCCGCCGCTTCCCGTACCATGGAGAGGGTATCCTGCGGCTTCATGCTGATCACCTTGGTGATGCGCCCCTGCATGATCAACATGTGCGGGTTGTTAAAGTTGATGGAGAAATATAACGGATTCTGGATATGATTATGCTGCATGTTTTTGGAGTTCCGAAAGTACTGGCTGACGCTACCAATGACGATCTGCCTGGTGATCGTGATGCTGTCGTGCGTCTCGTAGCCGGCTGGGCCGCAGGACTTTTCCTCGCTGTTGGCCTCTACCGTGACGCTAGCCTTCGTGATTCCTGCCTGGCCATGTTGTACACCAGCTCCGATCCGACACCATGCCCTCTGGCACGCTGAGACGTGGGTAGAATACCAAATACGACCAACACTGGCAATAAGGATGCACGAGAAGGATGCAAGGGCCTTGGAAGGCCATGCCGACACTTTTCGATCGGGGCGTGGCCAACGAAAAAGGCCAAGGACGGGCCAAACGGAAGGGACGCAAGGGACACCCGGGAAAGTCGCTCACCCTGACTATCAGTGTTGACCGCAGGTGCTGCCTGGTAGGGCTTCTCTGATCCTTTGGGGAACCCGCCCTCCCCTCGTGGCGGACCGCTGCATGCCTCCCCCGCGCTCCCCGGGGGCTCCCAGGGCGCTCCGACGCCTTTCTGCCGCTCTCCGGCGCGCCCAGGCTGCCAAGACGGATCTGGCAGGCCGCTAAAAGGCCGCCGAGAGGGTCCAACGTGCCTCCATGACGGCTCCAGGTGGCCCCGAAACTGCCTACAATGGTCTCAAGACGGTACAAGCGGCCCTCAAGACAGCCCAAGAGGGCTCGACGAGAAGCTCCAACTGGGAGGCCAACTTCATGGATTTTCCATCGGTTTTTGATTCATGCTCGTATTCTCGCATGTTCGCGCTTCCTTTGGCTCAAGACGGCCCAAGGATCATCAACGAGGGCCCCAAGACGGCTCATGAGGGCCTCAAGAGGGCCCCAAGACAGCCCAAGATGCGGTCCCAAAACGGCACATGGTGGGTCTAAGAGGACCTCAAGCCGGCCCAAGGGCGCACTCAGACGGCACTCGGGGTCCCTAAGACAGCCCCGGGACTACCCAGAGAGCCGCCCCCAAGACGAACTCCGAAGGTGCCAGAAGGCCGAAGAGCGCCCTCAGACTGCCCAAGGGGTTCCCAAGAGCCTTCGAGGCGCCTTCGAGGAGGCTCTCAAGAGGCACCCAACAAGCTCCAGGGCCGTCGAGATGCCCGAAGTGTCACACGCGATGGCCTCCCGTGCCCCCTCGAATGGTCGCCATTCAGAATGCTGCACTGGCACGGTGGTGAGACTTGCCGCACGCAGATGGATAGATTACCCACACGGACCTGCAGTCAGTTCGACTGCTAAACACGAAACAGGTAGAGTCGAGGATGGTCGACTTGCCACTGATTGTATTGAACTGCCTGTCAAAGGGGCCCACGCTCGTACGCGTCGAGTACGACTTGAAACATTCAATGACCAGCTCCTCGATTAACCCAGTCCTACAGTCAATCCGCATAGTAAGGACGTGCGACTTTCCAATGTTACACTCGTATTATTGTCCTTCGGCCCAATGGGCCGATGGGCCATCCTTGGCCCCTTTCGCTGGCCGCGCCCCGTCCGCAAAGTGTCGACATGGCTTTCCAAGGCACTTGCATCCTTATCGCGCGTCCTCCTCATGCGGGCTGACTGCACCCAAATCCACATAGAACCTGGCCTCCCTGGTGCAGCGCCTGCGGACCTGACGGCAACCTGGACAACGATTGTCCCCAGACCCCGACGTCATGCCTTTTTCATAACGTCGATCCCCCAGAGGTTTCGACCTAGTCCCCAGGACCGGTCTTTCGTCTCGAGTCGTTGTGTGACGGTCCCGAGGCCCAATAAAGGTCCCCAGAAACCGAAAATGGCGACAAACCTCCCGTCATGATTTGTTCATTGCTCGAGGGGATCTGGGTCCGGGGGCACGCCCACGGGCCTCCCCCCCGCGCAGCCCGCATAGCCCGGGCCCCAGGCCGAAGGCTGCCGCACGCGGTCGTGCGGGGTCCCGCGGCGGCCCTTCCAGTCTCTGAGGGTCGCCTGGGGGAGGCGGCCTGAGCCAACATGGCGACGGATGAACGAGAAGAGGGAAAGCGAGGAGGAAGAAGGTGGAGGAGGAGTGGAGGCAGGAGGCAGGAGGAGGAGGAGGAGGAGGAGGAGGAGGAGGAGGAGGAGGAGGAGGAGAAATAACAACGCGTCTCCTCCTCCTTCTCCTCCTCCTCCTCCTCCTCCTTCCCCTCCTTTTCTTCCTCCCATCTCCTCCCTCCTTGAGCCTCGCTCCTTCTCCCGTCCTCCTCCATTCTCGATATTATTGCCTCAGAATCGCTCGTGCTCCTACTCCCTTCTTCCCTTCCTCCTCCCGCCTACTCGTTCTCATCCTGCCCCCTCTCCTCCGCCGCGAACTTACTCGGCTCGAATTGAACCTCTCCGAGGACGTGCACCCGCCGGCTCGTGTCCTTTGGGCCTCTCGTTGTCATGTTTTCAACCCTTCGAATCCTCATCCTCCTCCTCTGCCTGCTCCTCTTCTATCCTCCTCCACCCCCTCCCCCCTCCCCGCTTCTCTATATCGCTGATGCCGCCTCCTCCATCCTTCAAATTCCATCCCCCATGTGACCTTGCCCTCAGCCGTCCCTCCAAGGAACGGCCGCGCTGTTTGGGCCCGCCCTCCAGTCCGCCGCCCACCTCTACCGCACCAGCCTCGGGTCCCACACGACCGAAGCCACCCGCACCGACACGCGGACGCTCGGGTGACCCTCTGCCGCCCCCCCACCCCTCCCCAATTGGGGGGCTCGGCGCCAAGGAATGGCCGCTCCGCGAGGCTCCCCCGCAGACCCAGAGGCTGCAAAAAGAAGGTGCGCGCAGAGCGCCGTGCTGCCCAGAACCCCTCTCCGTCCCTGGCGCAATCGTCGGCACCCTGCACAACCCGTCGTTGTTGAGCCGTGGGCCCCCCTTTGATTATTTTAGGAATCTGGGAGGCCAACGTAAGCCTGCGTGCGTGAGGTGGGCATGTGGGGCCGTTGGACGTGTAAGAAGTGCACACTTGCATCCTAGACACAAAAGCTTTTGAGCATGTCTGCGCGAGTTTACATGTGTCGTTTTGTGTATGGTCTTTTTTAGGCATGGTCCTTTAGAGCGATGGTCTTTCAAAAAGAATCAGAAAGGGCCCAACCTGAACCAGAGGGCGCCCATGTAGGGCAAGCTTCCACCACGTGCACGGCTCCCCACGCACCACTGCCCCGACTGCGCGACGACGACCCCTGCTCAACAGACGAACTGCCCCCGTGGCCGCACGAGCATGGCTCACCGCCGCCTGCCTTTCCCGAGGGAGGTTACAATTGTTTTTTCCCCTTGACTGGCACCTGTGGCTCTGAGCGCCGTGGACGTTCAAATGGGGTTGACGCCATCACCTCTGAGCCAAGGGGCTACGGGCGAGATACAGCAGAGAGTGCAGCACCCCTTGCTGTCCCGCTCACGCCCTGACAAGAACGCACACGATGAGAACAACGAATCCTGCACTGATGGGAGAAGCGCTGAAGTTGCTTCCGCTGCCTGCGCATCGCGGCGTGCCGACGCCCACCGCGCCGCCCAATCGAAGCGGGCTGCGGTGGCCGCAGCACCGACCGCAGTGCCCCCCGCCGCATGGATGGGAGGGCGCCCCCTGCCGCATTGCCCCCTGCCGCAAGGGCCTGGGGGGTGCTCGGACTGCCGAAGGCGGCACGCAGAAGAGCGCGCTGTTGCGCCCCTCGGCGCTTCTCCTCCCCCCCCCCGTTCTTCCCCTCTCCTCCCCTCCTCCTCCTTCTTCTCCTCCTCCTTCTCCTCCTCCTCCTCCTCCTCCTTCTCCTCCTCCCCATCCTCTCCCTCCTCTTCTCCCTCCTCCTCCTCCTCCTCCTCCTGCGCCTCCTCCTCCTCCTCCTCCTCCTCCTCTTCCTCCTCTTCTTCCTCCTCTCCT